AATGGCATTGAAAATATGGTTTTAGCTTCCTAGAATTTTTCTAGACGAGGATACCTAGTTTCGGCCTCGCATAGGGTTCTGCTAATATAATAGATAGGAAATTACGCACCTTCCTCTTCCCGGACCAGGACTCTACTTACCGCTACCTCAGATACCGCCAAGTACAGGTATAACCGTTCATCTGCCTTCGGAGTATGTAGCAAAGGTGGGCTCGAAAGGTACCGCTTGAGTTCCTCCAAGGCTTGTTGACACTACTGGGCCCACGAGAAGTTATTCTTCTTCTTCAATAGTGAGAAGAACCGACGGCTTTTATTGGAGGACCTCGATATGAATCGACCCAAAGCGGCTATATGCCCGGTTAATCTTTGAACGGCCTTGACGTTATCCACAATGGTGATGTCCTTGATGGCCTTGATTTTATCAGGATTAATCTCAATTCCCCGGTTGGACACTATGAATCCGAGGAATTTCCCGGACCCATCTCTGAATGCGCATTTCTCCAGGTTCAGCTCCATATTGTATTTCTTCAATATGTTGAAGGCTCCCTATAAATGTTTCAAATGGTCCTCTGCTCGCAAGGACTTAACCAACATATGTCAATGTAAACCTCCATTGATTTTCCTATTTGGTCTTCGAACATCCGATTTACTAGGCATTGGTAAGTGACACCGGCATTTTTTAGTCCGAATGGCATTACGTTATAGCATTAGGTACTGTATTTAGTGATGAAGGATATTCTTTCCTGGTCACCCGGGTCCATCCGAATTTGGTTGTACCAGGAGTAGGCGTCGAGAAAACTGAGGATCTCGTGGCCGGCTGTGGCATCGATCATGCGATTGATGTTTAGAAGAGGGAAAGAGTCCTTGGGGCATGCCTTGTTTAAGTCTTTATAGTCTATGCACATTCTTAATTTATTCTCCTTTTTAGGGACTACTACTACGTTTGCTAACCAATCCGGGTACATAACCTCCCGGATGGACCCTATTTTATGGAGTTTAGATACCTCATCCTTGATAAATGCATGCTTGACTTCAGACCGAGGCCTCCTTTTCTTCTTAACTGGATGGAACTTCGGATCCAGGCTTAGCTTGTGAGTAATTATCTCCGGCGTAATCCCTGTCATATTGAGGTGAGACCAAGCGAAACAATTTATGTTAGCTATAAGGAATTGAATGAGTTTTTTCCTGAGCTCGGGACTTAGCCCTGTGTCCAGGTGTACCTTACAATCAGGCAGGTGTTCAATCAATATGACTTGCTCCAGTTCTTTGACTGTTGATTTGGTGGAGTCGGAATCATCGGGGACTATGAAAGATCTGGGAACTCCTTAGTCACTGCCCCCATCTATCCCCTACTTCTCCGGTTCGATCGAGGCAAGTATAGGTAATTGCTATTTGGTTTCATCTCTGGCCACCAGACCTAGACCTTTCGATGTCAAAAGTGCGGATACCGGGATCACATCGTTGACCGCGAACATCTCCTTTGCGGCCGGTTGTTCTCTGTAAACTGTTTTAATCCCTCTTGGCGTCAGGAATTTCAGCACCTGGTGCAGCATCGAGGGTACTTCCCTCATAGTGTGAATCCATGGTCTCCCGAACAGAACATTGTACCTCATGTCTCCATTGATCACGCAGAACTTTGTTTCCTAGATGGTTCCGGCAGTGTTCACCAATAATATTATCTCCCCTTTAGTGGTTTCACATGCCATGTTGAATCCGTTCAGAACCCTGACTACAGGCACGATTTGGTCATGTAGACCTAGTTGTTCCACGGCCCTCGATCTAATGATATTAGCCGAGCTACCTGGATTAATTAACGCACGCTTAAATTGAGATTTGTTTATGAGTATAGATATTATCAGTGTATTGTTGTGAGGCTGTACGATACCTTCAGCGTCCTCATCATTGAAAGACAAGGCTCCTTCTAGTACATAATCTCGAGTCCGTTTTTCCCTCGTGATGGATACTTTGGTGCGCTTCAACATCGGCCTGTGGGAACATCGACCCCACCTATGATCATGTTAATGACGTGCTGAGGCTCCTCCTGCTCGATCTGCTTGCTAGAATCTCTATTCCTGAAATGGTTTTTTGCTTGATTGCTCAGGAACTCCCTGAGATGTCCGTTGTTGAATAACCGGGCTACTTCCTCTCTCAATTGTCGGCAATCCTCTATTTTGTGGCCGTGAGTGCCACTATATTTACATATTAAGTTGGTATGCCTTTGGGCTGGATCATACTGTATAGGTCGAGGCCACTTGATGTCTTTGATGCGTCCGATGGAAAACACGATAGCAACAACATCGACGTTGAAGTTGTACTCCGATAACCTCAGTGCTTCCTTAGACCAGATGGGCTTATCGAAACCGTTTTTGCTCATGAGTCCCTAGTTATTTTGACCTCGATCGCTTCTTCTTTCACTTATCACAGGGTTTTGTCCAGACCCGTTACCCATATAATCACCGTTGTACGATTGATACCGATCTCTACTTGACCTTGGTTCATGATCAATGTCTCTTTTGGATCTGTCACTAGCTCGGAAAGGATAAACAGACCTGGAAGGGGCCCCAAGCTGATCATCTTCGACCCTAATTTTTGATTGGTACCGGCTATGCACATCGGCTAAAGTTACAGCCGGATATTATACCAGATTTTGCTTTAACTTCTGCGAAGCCAATGAGCTTCGATCACTGAGTCCTTAGGTGAAGGCCTGAACTGCCCAATCGTCTGGCACCGATGACAGGTCCATCCGTTCCATTTGAAACCTTGACACGAACTTCCTAAGCATCTCGTTATCTCTTTGCTTTACCTTGAAAAGGTCCGACTTCCTGGTCTCGACATTGATGGCTCCGGTGTGCGCTTTTACAAAAGCATCTGCAAGCATAGCAAATGAGTCAATAGAATTGGGGGGGCAAGTTGTGATACCATATCATAGCTCCTTTTGACAAGATCTCTCCGAACTTTTTCAGCAATACATATTCGATCTCATCATCTTTCAAGTCGTTCCCCTTGATGGCGCACGTATACGAGGTCACATGTTTATTTGGATCAGTTGTTCCGTTGTACTTAGGAATTTTATGCATGCAAAACTTCTTCGGGATCGGCTTCGGAGCCGCGCTCGGAGGAAAAGGATTTTGAACAAATTTTTTGGAGTCTAGGCCTTTCAATATCGGAGGTTCTCCGGGGATCTGGTCGACCCTGGAGTTGTAGGTCTCCACCTTCTTGTCATTGGCTTCAATCTTCTTTTCTTCCGTTTCTACCCATTTTGTCAATTTCTCAAGCATCTTTATTATCTCAGGGTTGGTCCCGGGTTCAGCTTCATTTAGCCTATCTGCGGCTGGTTCATTTCTGCGAGTATTTTTTCGGGACGGTTCAGGCTCAACTTTACTGGGAGCGCGACTTTGGTTCTGTAGTTGGGCTATCGCTGCCTTCTGAGCCTGCAGCATTTAGAAAATCACCCGTAAATTAATTCCATCCCCTTCACCATCACGAGTATTTTGGGATACCGATTGGACTCCCCCGAGGACGCTATTCTCAGGATCGGTGGGCAAATTCATGTTAATGGCCACATGTGAGTTGGCGTCGATCAGGTCCGCGGCCAAAATTCTGTTGAGATTTGCATGGGGCACCTCGTTACCGGGCACCATATTGTTGTTCTCGCCATGGTGGCCAGATTCAGCATCCGTGTTTAGAGGGACATATTGGGAGTTCGACATTTTAAACTTAGAACTGAAATCAAAGACACTTCAAAGAACAAGTATGAAGTATAGTGTGTTACGAAAATTTGTATCAAATTGCCACTATTATCCTTAGCCCCACGGTGGGCGCCAAACTGTTTACCCTCAAAATCGGATAACAATTAAATTTGTAAGTGGTTTTAAGGATATGCGAATTAATTTGATACAAAACGATAAATTGAGTTAGAATGGACAAGTAAAGATACAATAATTTCAAACCACGCGAGGAGGATGATTCCAACCTTGGTAAAGCATTCGCCCTCGATCCGGGCTCACAGTGGACAATTCTGATGAACGAGAGAAAACGCTAACAATAACAGTGGAAATAATAATATATTACTTTGGGGAATCGTACTCTAAGTACAACTCTATAAAAGGTAAAAAAATCTTCTGTTTAACTGATTGCTGGTTCTTTATCGATATATGTCGGGATCCACGTCGCGATATTCGTCCGGTTTCGGATATTACGGCCTTCTGTTGGTCGTGCTTGATTGCCCGACAATGTCTTCCAAAGTCTTTCAGGATTTGGATCGATCTCGAATCATGACCCCGATATTCTCGAAGGCAGACAACGTGCCTCCGGATTCTGACTCGACGAGACCTTTATTTCGATTTCGATCCTTCGCAATCATATCTCGAGTTCGGTTTACCCTATTGGAGGCCAGAGTGTACCGTGAGACCTGTTTTTACCCGTATACAGGCTTAATCTTGGTCATCTAATCTGAGTGTTTCAGGTCACATTCTGTTCGCAAATAAGTTCGATTAGAGGTTTTAGAAGATTAGACATTTTCTTCGATCAAACTTTAATGTTATAACTTATAACTAACTAAAACCGATTAAAATGTCTTATTAATTTAGATTTTTTCTATTATATGAAACAACATAGAAATATGGATTTTCACAGTCACGTTTGTTATGAAAGTCGTCTAGGAGTCCACATATTTGTCGTCTGGGCCTTTTGATTGACATATCAGCACCTTCAATAATAACATATGAGTACTTCCAATAATTAATTAATTCTTTTACTTCCCACGGTGAATTATCAAGAAGTCGACTATGTACGAGAATCTATAGTAGAGTAAGCTTATTGTTGCGATTGAGATTGCATTATCCCTTTCCTCGTTGTAATCGAAAGTACTTGAAACGGTTTTATCATACTGTATTCAATCAGATAATAGCATACAGATATCATGTATCCATTCCCACGAATAATTCTTATTTATGTTATTAATATGTTTTTCTGGATAAGCTACACCAAGCAAGTACCATGTTGTATAACTATGTAGATTGACCTATTCTAGTCTTACTTTCACAAAGCAATTAATTTGGGTAAATCCATTGAGGTTACATACTGTTTTGTATTATTGAAAAGAGTATTAATAAGAATCTTTGCTACTGCCTCTGTAGGATGAACTCTATCCCAGAAAACGTGATCATTCCTGTTGGGACAATATATTGAAATAGGAAGGCAAGGAACATCAGCACTTAATCTCCCTTTCCCGCAACAAGCTGCTTTAACCTCACGAAAACCTGAAAAATAAATCATATTTGTAATTGCATGATATACAAATATGAAAATCTTGCAATTTTTTTCAGATTAAAAAGGTTTAGTTTATACAGTGACAATATATTAGAGTAGGTGCATTATCAAATCAACAGAAGATAACAATAATTAGCAATTATTCATAATCTTCAATCATAAGTGAGGGTAGATATATTGAAAATAAATAACATATATAATATCCTAATAACATGCTAAATATACTGATTAACGATAATTCTATCAATTTATATTAGAAAAATGGCTGAATGAATAATGAACTTGTGATTATACCGTATTTTGTTGGATTCTGGATGAGGTTGACCAAGAAATCGTAGGTGTTCAAGTAGGTGTAGTTGAAATGCTCCTGCAGCTGTGACTTCAATTTTCTCAACATCGATTGTAGACCTTGATTATAAATCGTTGCCCAATAATTGGCCTCGTCATTGCATTTATCAACCTCAGTAGTGTTCAGAAGTCTTTGCGCTGGAGTGCACCCTACGGGTGCTAACCCAAAAATCAGAAATTTACGTGCACCTAGACCTTGTAATTGCTGCAATGAAACCAATTAATATTACTTCGAATGGTTAATTGTGTTACATATATAATTAACCTGTACCCAAAAATTAGAAGAAAAAGGGGTTATATCACATCATTCTTTTTTCTGTTGTTTAATTAAATATCTTCAACATACTATTAAGACTTATGGTAGGATGGGTAAGATCTTTTTACCAAGGTTCATGATAAGGAGCGTTTTCTTCTTTAATCGGCCTTAGATGATGCAAATTAATATTAGTACTTGAGAGCTTACCGTGAATACCAGACATAGGACAGGATGAAAAACAAAAAAAAAAATAAATAAACAGTTGGACATAAACAAAAAAGCTAGAGATGCTAGAACTTACCCTTAGCTGGGTCAAAAAGGTGGATAGCATTAAATCGATGTACTCTTGTGGTGGCTTGGTCATAGGGAGTTTGAATGTGAAGTAGTTCAATAGGTCATTGCTTCCGATAACAATCGGAAATAGAGAACTTGACAAATGCATTTGTGCTGCATTGTATCCTATCTTTTGGATCAACCTTTGTTGCAACTCGGAGAAGTACTCTACCTGTTTTGAGAGGTGAATCGTCCCATTCTATGACAAAGGAAAAGTACAGAATAAAAAACTCATTAGAAAAGGCAAACACGATGCTACTATATACCTAATACATACGTAGGGTGAATTCAACATATACTTCACCCATGATTGCAGGTTCACTATACTATAAAAAGATAAAACACCAACTCCTCTTAATGAATGGTTTAGAAAACAAAGACAATAAACTTTCAAAGTAGTACTTTCTCCATCAAGAAAATAACGAGTGGATCTGAATACGATCGAGGGTCAAATATCTAATTTTCAGTATAAAACAGAATTTTATAAAATAAAATTTATATATTAAATAATAATTTGAGAAGAACTTTGAAAATCGTAGTTGAAGCAAAAATATTTAACTTTCAAGTAATAATAAATAATGTCACATTAGTAAAAAGTATTTCTTCCCGAATATTTGTCACTTTAAAAAACAAAAAGGTATTATAAACTTTTTGTCAATTTTAACTTTACTACTCCAAGAAGTGAAGTTATATAGTCATTAAATAGCTTAAGCAACTACTAGTATATATATATGGAGTAATTATTAGTTTTATTAAATAATTTTCTAAATAAGTGTATCAAAAACATAAACGACAGGTATAGCACAGGAAGAAATAAAGATAGATATGCTCTTACAAAAGGAGTTCCATTGGTGCTGTTTAAAATTCCAGCTCCTCCCGAGGCAAAGCTTACACCTTCCATAAAGAGGCCATCCTTGTTCGATAGATACGGTGGAGGTGTTGGTAAACCAACGTTTTCAGCTGTTACATAAAAAGCCAACAAGTTACTGAAAGCTACATTTTTGGAAGAGAGGTTGTGAAGTGAATAAAGTTATTTTACTTTCTAAGGGATAATCATCGATCACTTCACATTTCGCTCCATCACACTAATTACATTTCTCTTGGTTATAAAGTGATATAAAAAGGATAATTATTTTATATCAATGATAAATAGGTCAAAAGAATTATTACACCAAAATTAATATAAGAGAACACTACTAATAATTCAGCAAAAACCGACCGCGGTCTACCGGCCAATTTTAATCGGTCAAAAAACTGGCCAAAAAACCGACCAAAGTTGGTCGATTTTTTAAAATATTTTATTTTTTAATTTTATTTTGCGAAACCGGCCCACTTCGGTCGGTTTTCATTTAAAATAAATTAAAATTAATATTTAAAAAACCGATCGCAATCGGTCGGTTAATTCGGCCGGTCATTTTTAAAAACCGACCAAATTCGGTCGGTAATTTTATTTTTTAATAAAACCGACCAATATTGGTCGGTTATTTTCGTGCGAAAATACAATTAAAAAGTATAAATGAAATAAAAGACAATCTTAAAATAAAATGCACCAATAGTCTAGTGGTAGAATAGTATCCTGCCACAGTACAGACCCCGGTCGATTCCCAGAGGGTGCATTTTTTAATTACATAATTAAAATACCGACCGACTTTGGTCGGAAAAAATTATCGATTTTCTCGGCAATTTTTTTTATTATTTTAATTGACCAACCAAAGTTGGTCGGTAATTTTTGACCAACTTTGGTCGGTATGCCTTTTCGACCTTCAAAATACTGGCCACATGTTAATGGTCGCGTTTTGGACGGTTATTGGCCATTACCAACCTACTTTGGTCGATTTTTTTGAACGATTTTTGCCGAATTTCTAATAGTGAAATAAATCACGAGTGAGGTCGGTATGATAAAGGAAAATGTGAGGAGAGGTCTTTGAAACTATCCCTGCTTTCCATTTATATTATTGGATAGTTTAATCATAAGAACTCTTTATATATATATCTAACGTTTAAATAACATTGTATTAATTAGAGCAGTAAGGATAAAATTGAAAAAGGTAATAAATGCTTTTTGTTTTTTGACGTCAAAATATATTTGGAAGAAATTCAAATCACCAAATTAATTAAGGCCTAAAGATAGAATTATTTACCAAGAAAATCAGCAGCATTTTTCCCATTACTGAATCTTCCAGTTGGTTTGCCACCAGGGTAATCAATGCCATTGAAAGGAAAATTAGCCCTGAAGATGGTCTGAAAATAATCGTTGTTCCCCACATCTACTTGAGAGTCACCAAACACATACATGGCCGTGACCTTTTGTGATCTTGACATATTCAATTGCAAAAGCAAGACAAGTGCAATTAAACCAAATGAACATAGCAGCTTAGTCTTGTCAGAAGAGAAGGCAGCCATTCTTGTTTGACTCCAAATGATGTGGACAATAAGATGTTTATGTTTATTTAAGGAGCTAAAGCTGTAGATAAATCTGGAAGGTGTTTAATGCCATTATTATTAGCAATGATAAATATTCATAAATAAGTCAAAAGAATAATTAAATCTCCATTAGTGGCAACGCAATCCTGTGTGTCAAAACAGGAAACAAATTTAAGATGAAATCATGGGAATATCGAAATATTAGTAAGTAGTATTAATTTTCCTGAAAAAGCAAGGCTCAGACTATATATGCGATAAAATATAGGGAAGCCAAATATACTAATCTACTTTCGGATATTGTCTATATTTAATATTTACTATACTATTTGGTCAAATTTATCCATACCGTTATACTTTTCGGTCAAATTTACCTCTACCATCAGCAAACTTTTAAAAATTACCCCTTGATTTGTTGAATAATCTAAAATCTCACAATTTCCTTTTATTTAAATTCATTGTTGTTCTTCTTGCTGCACTATTTTCATAAATTACTATTAATGTGAATGGTAAAGGTATTAGACTATTCAAATTATTCATGAATATTTTAATTACCAATGTACCCACTTCTCTTTTTGTGATAATGGGTTTAGAATTGGTTTAAAATTTTATTTATTTTTCAACTATATACACACCATAGAATTCAGTGGGTCTATTTATTGTGTATTATATGCAGCTAATCATCATGTATGTATAGATATATTCAAATATATTTTGTTATTGTTTGGTTAGTATAGATTTCGATCGACTAACTTAAGAGTGCACAATGCGTCGGCATTTGATTACAGCGAAGTTGAATTCGACAACGTAAAATCTCCAAGGAACTTCAACTTCTATCACTAATACTTGTAAAGTCTCTATACATTTGGTGCAACGAATTCATTAAAGTTGGGATGTTGTAAATACTTTCGGAATTTAGACAAGCTACCTAATTTAGATTCTTCAATTTACTATACTTTATTTACTAACCGTTGTATTATTTTTAATATTTCTTTCTTTTATTTTTTTCAATTAAGAAAGCAGGTAAATGTCAATTATTTCAAAAATAGTTGATTAAGAAGAAGAATAAGTGACTTAATTAAAATGATTTGAGAGATTCTGAGTCGCCTGACGGACTGAGCGATAATTTTTACAATTAAGCTTGTTGATGATAGGTGTAAATTTGGCCGAATAGTATAACGATAGGGATAAATTTGGTCGGATAATATAACAGAGATTAAATATAGACAATATCCAAAAGTAAGAAAATATATTTGGTCATTTTCCCTAAAATATATGTACTTTTATTTCTTTATAGTTTAACCAAAGTGAACGTAATTGGCAAATCCAATTGCTTAAGATGTACATACCCAAAAACAATTACGAGCATGTTTGGAAAGCCACCTAGGAATTGAATTTGGGTGTAATTATATTATTTGACATGTTTGTCTAAGTACTTAGCCAGCATGGAATTGGGTGTACTTAGATAGGTGTAATTATACTCTCCAATTCTCAAGGCGAGAGGAGAATTGATGGTAATTGCACTGTGTAATTATAAGGTTACATTTTAATTTCTTTCCTTTTTATTTTTATTTTTATTTATTTTATTTATAACTTTTTATTTCAATTTATTTTATTTTAATTTTTTTAAATTTATTTTTACTTTTAAATTTTAAAATATATTTTCTTTGTACATTATTTTATTTACCTTTACTTCTCATGATTCTATGTAATTGCTCGTATATTTTATTTTCTTCATTTAGTGTAACTATGTTATTATTATAATTTTTCAAACTACACCTCCTAATATTATAAATAATGAGTCATTAACAAACTTGGCATATAATGAGTAATGTCATTAAAGTAAAATTTAATTATTGAATGAGGTTATAAACTTATTATATTTTTTAATCTTAAGTTGTATTGGAACTTATTTTTATTATGTTGGAATTTGACATATGTTTTTTTTTTTTTTTGGATTTTGAAATTGTATTATATTATGGTTCTACTTTACTTGTTTTAGTAGTATTGGCTTGTTATTTCACATTGCATATTATTTATTTTTTAGTTAGAATTAATAGATTAGTTTTGTCAAATAATTTTATAATGTTATGAAATTATATTTATAAATATTAATTTATTTTATCAAACATGCATTCCATGATGTTCTTACAAAATGTATGTTTTCAGTTTTTATAATTAATTATACTAAATATTATTAATTTGAAAAATATATATCAATTATTTTTATAATATTAGTTATAAATATATGATTACTAATTCGTGTATATTCAAGAAAACAATATGCATCTTAAATACCAAATCTAATATCATTTATAATTATAAAAAATTATTTATATGCAAATATTTATTATATTAACTTTTAAGTTTCGATAATTTCTTCATTTAAAATTTAATCTAATTGTGTAATTACACTTGCGCAACCAAACAGTACGCTTGTAATTACAATGTAATTATGTTATGCCAAATAAATAGGTCATCGTAATTACTAGGCTGTATAATTACTACTCTAGTAATTACACCAATTTCAATTATCGGATAGCTTTCCAAACAGACCCTAGGTATTTTCACGAAAACACCGGCTAAATTAAGGTTTATCGTAGCACCCTATTTTAAAGGGATTCCATCACTCCATAAGCGGTCTCCGTAACACTGATTAAGAACAAAATGTTCAGTAAATGGCTTGAATTGTTGTTATAGTCGACTTATCTAGTCTTAGAGACTAAGTGTCATCACAATGCTTGTGGTGGGATTTTTGGGTCGTGACAAATAATAAAAAAAATCATGAGTATCTACTAGAATTTTTTAAAATCCGGTGTCATAAGTGCACAAGCATCTAAGAGAATATACAGAACTCCCTAAAACTATTGTCTGATATAGAATAGACAGAAATAGTAAATATAATAAGAGAAGGCTCTGGGTGCTGCAAAACGGAGCATGAAAAGCAGCTCACCACTAGGCCTTCGAGTAATGCGGATGCGCGCATGGACGAACACCAGATGTACCTGCCTCAGAACCTACACAATTTGTGCAGAAGTGTAGCGTGAGTACGTAAATAACGTGTACCCAGTAAGTATCTAGTCTAACCTCGAAGAAGTAGTGACGAGGGGTCGACATCGACATTTACTAGTGGTCAATATACATAAAGTGCTAGAGTTATAAACAGGCATGAAATGCAATAATGATAATGGAATAAGAGGTAATAAATAAGTGTTTCTTTAACAAAATAACAAGTTAAAAAGTCCCTAAAATATCACATGCTAATCTCAATAAGTAAGGGCCCGCAAGTAATTACAATTTCTCAAGTCATGAAGGATATATCAAGAGTAATCAGACTCCTAGAGACAACAAGCACAAGTTATGCCGAGGTCGTACGGCCCGATCCATAATAATCGTGTACATACACTACCGAGGTTGTACTGCCCGATCCATGGATGCATCACATTACATATTAATATTGTCAAAGCGTCCAGCCCGATCCACAGGAAAAGAGAAACTCTTCTAGCTACGAATGAAGTGTTTACAACTCCAAGGTAAACCCATAAAATAATATAAATATCCGTCGATAATTAAATATTCCGCCAAATCACTAAGTAATGACGCTCGATTTAGCATAATCTTTAATCAAATTTTACTTATTAATACAAAAAATTAAACTATCAAATTGAATTCAAATAGTGCAAGTAATTGCATAATAAAGTCATATGTCTACCCGGACATAACATGAAATTTAGCTACGTACGTACTCTCGTCACTTCGTACATACTTAGCACCCACAATTAGTAGCAAATAATAATTTTAACACCTATGGGGTTAATTCTCTATTACAAGGTTATGCAAGAGATTTACCTCATTTTTAAGTCCACTTTGCGATCCACAAATTATACTAAAAGCCTTATGTCGGTGCCGAGCAATCCGAAACTAGCCAAAGGTTATACAAACTAATCAATATTTGCTCAAAAGTTCATAATTTAACTATTAGAGTAATCACCCGACCCATTGTGAAAGGTTCCTAAAATTCACCCCGAGACTCACATGCCCGGATTCCGAAAATTTTCGTAAATAAATGTTACTCATAACCTTACGAACACTAATATATAATTTCTACCCAATTTCATAATTATTTTCGTGGTCTAATCTCATTTTTATCAAAACCTAGGTTTTCAACAAACTCCAAAAAATTTCACATTTTACATGTTAAAATCTACTCATAATCTATGTATTTAACTTACATTAGGTAAAAATCACTCACCTTATAATGCTTAATAAAAATCCTTCTCCAAGAAGCTCTAAATTTGGCCAACACAATGAGAAATGAGAGAAATAAGCCTAAGTCCCGACTTTAAATTAAGATTCTACCCAGTCGACCCTTCTTCACGATCGCGAAAAGGGCCTCGCGATCGCTAAGGCAAAGCCTGCCCAGACCCTGAAAACCTTCACCGCGAACGCGACTGGTTCCACGCGATCGCGAAGGCTAGACCAGCCCAAGCATCGCGAACATGACCTGCCCTTCGCGAACGCAAAGGGCAATGACCCACTAACCC